TATTTCAGAATAGTAAGAGTCAGCCTAGCGTGCCTGTGACTTTTCATCCTCAAGTTCTCAACACACTTGGGGGTAAAAAAAAAAAAAAAATGTTTCCCCAAACAGTTTGCTTAAATATTCCTTATCTTGCCGTATCTCACCTAGGGAAATTGCATCTTAGAGCACTTACTGACATATTTAGGAAAGAATGTTTAAGCTTAGCAGAATTTGGGTGGAGTTAGTTTATTTAACATGGTGTTGTGGACCCACCGTGGGTTCCCTGAGAGGTTTCTCTTGAAGGGTAGACCTGTATCAAGGGCTCTGGCTGTGAATCTGTCTTTCGTGGTGAGCAGTGGATAACTTGTGACGTTAAGAAGGTGTGTGATTTATATATTAAAAATAGCTTCATATCTCACTGCTAATTAGTAGTTTGTTGCTTGGGGGGAGGAGGTAGCAGGCTAGTATCTTTTTATTTTCCAGTTTTAGCAATGTTGCAAAATAGGAAAGAGGAGGTTTGTAAGTTTGAGATTGTCTGGGAGAGACAGTAAAACAGGATAAGTATACAATTGTTAGGAAACTGCCATGAGTTCATACACAGGAAGGATCTTTTTAGAAATGTTTAAGGGCATTAAGAATAGCATTGAATTATTCTCTCTGAAGAGTCCGTGGATAATAATACTCGTGTGTCGGCGGTTAACATATAGGATGTTGAAGGCTCCTAGGAAAATACTTGGGAAAGGTGGAAACGTTTTACATTTTCAGAGGAGCATTTTCCCAGAGATCATTTCATGCAGCTTTAAAAAAAAATGACTTTTGCTTCAACCTGAAAGTTTGTACTGTCATAATGCAAAATCCAGTCTTTTTGACTGTATGGTAATTTGTAACTCAGAACAAAGTTTATGAAATAATTTATTAGCATAATTTAAGTCAGATTCTGACATTGAAATATTGCTTGGTATTAAATAGTTGCTCTTGTTTAAGTAACTGCCATTCAAGAATGAGGAAGATAAATACTTTTCTGAATAGAATGAATTACTCAGATGTGACAATAGTCACACTGCTTTTACTAGAGAAAATTTCAAGTGTTGTAGCAGTGACTGCCTCAGCTGTGAGCTGAGCAAATTCACAAATACTGCTTTTTCACATGCTTGAACATTTACCTTTTGGTAATATTAAAATTTGATTTTAAATTTCAAGATGAATCTTTCAATCAGCAGTGCTATATAGTAAGATGACTTCAGTAGATGTTAAGCAATAGTTTTAATTCTTTTCACTTAAGTATAATATTTGGTGATTTTTGCCGTGGTATATCAGAAAAGATTTCTCAGGGGCAGAGGTTTTTGGTAACTTTAGATGCTTATCTATAATGCTTGATTATTTTTAGAGCCATAAAAACTGTGGGATGTTTTCCATTTAAAGATACAAAACCCTGTTGATGTTACATTCGCAGGACTCTTACACTTGATGGGTAACGTCAGACACACATTTGCACTCTTATTTCCCCTAGTAGCTGCTGTCTGATAAAGAATATGTGAGTTTATAATTCCTAGAAAACTTTTAATCAAATACATTTGCTGTTTAGTGTGAGATTTTTGACTAGTTGAATTGCTTTCATTCAGGAAGATAGTGTTTGGAGGATTATATGCTTTCTTTGCATTAGAATTTCTGTTTAGAGTCATTCTGCATTTTTTTTTTTTAAAGTAATAAGCCCGGAGTCTTAAATATTGCCTTAAATTTATTTTTCCTACATGGCACCCTTATCAAACTTGACAGTTTTCTTCTCCCCACAGTTGCAGTTTTACCCCTTTAGACTGGCTAGCCGTTAGTCCTTTAGCCATTGAACTCTGGATTCCATACTCAGCTTAACCTCTTCCTGAGGAAAGGACAGTCACAGGCACTTAGACTTGGAAGCGATCTCAGAGGACGTCTAAGGTGGCATCTCACCCAGGACAGTAAATCCCCCACGGGAGCGTCCAGTCAGGTGCTCCCTGTCATTACTCAGGGCAGGAGCGCGGGTCCCCGAGTTGTCAGATTATCCAGTCATCCGAGCGTGGTGAGAACAACTAGACATTTTTGCTTTTCACCGTTCGCTGCTTGGTTCAACTGTGCTTTGCAGGATCTCTCTCTTCCCCCTCTCCCTGCCTTATGACATCATGGGCAAATGATAGCTTTTCTATCATTTGCAGCTATTAAAAGCTCTGGTCTAATCTATTTTAGTTTAAACCTTCAATCTCCTGTACAATTTGAATCTCCTCCCCTCTCTTACCCCCCTGCCAGGCTGCTTAGGGCTTGAAGCCCAGAGGAACGTGCTGAGTTCCTGGGAATACGGAGCTGGGTCCCTCTGCTCCTGCCTCCTTGACAGGGCACTCTTTAGAGGAAAACTGCAAGACAAGTATGTCTCACCTGGTGCTCTTGAAGCCTTCTCTGGGTTAACCGTGGCAAGCCATGGGTGTCCACTGATAGGCTTCCAAGCTGTAGTTGTGGGTGAGCACTCCCAGGGAGACGCCCCACTGCAGAGAGTTCCTGGATGGGAAGTTTGCGGCTAGACCCTTTCCAGCCTCCACTGCCGCCTCCTTGATCTGTCGGTCCATCGCCTCGTCCCTCTGTGTGCAGGGGTGAGGCGTGTTGGGGATTTTTCCTCTCTGCAGCCCTATTTTTTTGATAACATCAGCACAGCTCAAGTCCAGCTACCTGTGTAGTTGCCACACCCCACTGGAAACTCACTTCCTTATCATGCCAGATAGTGGCCCACCGGGGGCCTCAGTGGTCCCCTTTCTGTGCTCAGCCACTTCTCTTTGTCCCGCTGCTCTGATAGGCACAGGGTTAGTCCCTCAGTCTGCTTTGTAAGCTTACAAAGCAGACTCTGAACTGGAGGACATGCCAGTTTCTCCCTCTTGTGGGCACTCCTGATCTTGGGGGTCCCCCTGTCCAGTTTGTAGGTGAAAACCAACTCCTTTCCTTCTGTTTGCCCTGATGACCTCGATTTTCCCCTCTCTTCTGAAAAGCACTCGTCTCCAGTGGCATGATGGGCAGGCCCGGGAGACAGTGCCGCAGCCCTGAGGTGTGTGGGATTTGTCAGTGCCAGACGCTCTGCCCTTTGACCCCCAATGTCATGTAGCCTCAGATACGTTCGTCAGCAGTTTTGGGCCAAGAGTCCCCCTGCACATCCGGCTGCCATGCAGTGGGGCCCCGTGGCCCGGTGGGTTGTTGCTGTGCAGGATTTGCTTTTTCTTTTTTACTTTCTGACGTTTGTTTTTACTTTTTTGGCTCACTTCCTGGTTCCTGACTGGTAAAGTTTTAACTATGAATATATTAATTTATGACTAATTGTCTGATTTAATTACACCTTAGAGCATAAATAAAACTGAAGGGTAAAATTTGGGAAGGTTTTAATTTATCTGTTCTTCCCTCCTATTAGCTTTACTTAAATCCAAGCAGAAATACAGCTTTTGAACCTTTTTATTCCCATCTAAACAAACCAGTCAGTTAAATCTGCTAAATGATTTCTCATCAGGTGAGGATAAAACAACTTCTCTATCTGGAAACTTAAATGTTAATATTGGATTCAGTAATTAGGGATTCCTTAGGACTTCGTTCAGGAAACACAGTAAGTCCTTATTTAGCATCGCTGATAGGTTCTTGGAAACAGCAACTTAAAGCAAAATGACATGTAACAGAAGCAGGTCCTCCAGTGTTTCAGTTCCACGTTACCTGGGATTGTTGTTTTAGATCAGAATGATGCTCCTTGAGGACCTGTGGTAGTTACTAAACACCTTCCATGTGTCAGTCATGCTAACAGGCACGGGACAAACAGTAAATAAGAAAGTGCCTGCCTTCTGGAGTCTGTTTCCCAGTGGGGGCAAACAGACAGGAAGCAGGTAGATAAGTAAAGGAACCTTCATCAGCAATAAATGCTAGGGATAGGATTGAAATAGGAAGATGGGAGGTGGCTAGGCTGCCAGGCCCATTTGCAGTTTTAGTTTGGCTTCAGGGCCTCCCGGTAGCCTAGGTGTTAAGTCTCAGTGCTGTCACCTCTGCCACCTGCGTTCCATCCTGGCCAGGGAGCTGACCCACATGACACAGCAGACCTCTCCTGTCTCCCCCGCTGCTCTCCTCAGCAGTGTATTTCAGTAGCTCCTCCGCCTGTTCTGCCCCCAACTCTGTCTCTGATGAATCCCCCCCCCAAATACTTCTGTCCTGCACGCCAGCTCTAATAAACAAACAAACAAACAAATAAATAAATGCCTTTTAAAAGAAGGCTTCACTGACAAGCTTTGGGTTAAAAGATCTGGAGTGGGGAGCTTGTGTGAACTAGTGGGTGTCCAGTGGACTAGTGGGTGTCCAGATGAGAGAGAGAAGGGGGTGGGGCATTAAGGTAGGACCAGGGGCAGGTGCCACCTGCATGTCTTTGAAGGGCTTTGCTTTTTACTGTGATAGAGGAGTTCACATTACAACAGTGATTCTTTTTTTTTTTTTTTTTTAATAGAGGCATGCTTTATTTATTTGTTTGCTGGTTTGTTTGTTTGTTTTGTTTATACAAGCACTGGGTACAGTCCGAAGTGCGGGAGGGAGGGTGAGAGAATTCACCAGAGCCAGAGCGGGGAGCAGAGCAGGCAGAAGGACCGAAGTACACTGCTGAGGGGAGCAGCGGGCGGCAGGAGAGGTCTGCGCGCCATGTGGGACCCTCCTCCGGATGGCCGGGGAGCAGCCGGGGATCGAACCGGCGCCGCAGAGGCCGCGGGCAGCTTCGCAACCCAGCACTCAACCGCTGCGCCACCGGGGAGGCCCAGTGATTCTCTTTTTTTAATTTAATTTTTATTTCCATTTCGGGGTTACAGTTTTGCTCTTCCATCAGTGCACATGTCCCACTCACTGTCCCAAAGCAGTGATTCATGACCTGGGCGAGCATTGCAGTTATCTGGGGAACTTTAAGAATGTGCTGATATCCGGAGATTCTGATTTAATCCCTCTGGAGGGGTCCTGACTAGGTATCGTCATTTTCAAAATATCAGGTAATTCTAACAGTCACAATTGAAGAGTTCTAAGCAAAGTAACAGCAAGTAGCCGGGGGTGTGGGCTCTGGAAGAGCGAGACTTCCCTGGTTTGTGACCTTGGACAAGTTATTCAAAAAAATACCCCGTGCCTCTGTTTTCTCATCTGTAAAATTGTTACCAGGATTAGATAGATTAGTGCTTATATGTTTAGGATAGTGCTTGGCAAGTAGTAAACCGTGAGTTTATTGCGTCAGTGCTTGAAAATGTATCTGTGCCGTCTTGACTCCCGGGTTGCGCATAGCGGAGGGCGGAGGATGCAGGTGGCAGGGCCGGGGCGGGCTGGGCAGGCTCTGGGTCTCTTTTGAAGATGGAGCCGACAGGATTTGCTGATGGGTTGGGCATGAAAGGAGGGAGAAGTGGACTCAATCATGTGTGACTCCAGAGCTGTTTTGTCTGAACAGCTGGGAGAAGGGAGTGGCTGTTTGCTGGGAATGGAAAGACCAGAGGAAAGGCTTTCTGTGGGGAATATCTGGAACGCAGCTTAAGCTTGAGATTTGTGCTGAAAGAGTGTGTCAGCGTCGCGAAGGCAGTTGTGTGTAGGAGTCTGGCGTTCAGAGGGGTGAGCAGGCAGGACTGGGGGGAGTGGTTGGGAAGTTAGCAGTTTGTTCAGCCATAGGGAAGCACGAGCATCAGGAGACTAAGTACCTGCAGCGAAGCAGGCCCGGCCGCCCCACACCCCATCATTCCTCTGAGGTTGGGAGCTGAAGTCTTTCTTAGGGATTCTGATGTGCTCTAGAATGAAAGATAATTCTTTTTTTTTTCTTTCTTAAAAAAGCTTTATTGAGGGCCCCCCTGGAGGCTCAGGGTTAAAGTCTCAGCACTATCAAGCTGTGGCCAGCCACTGTGCCATGAATTCGATCCTCGGCCAGGGAGCTGCCCCACAGGGCTCAGCAGACCTCTCCTGTCTCGCCCTCTGCTCTCCTCAGCAGTGGATTTCAGTAGATCCTCCTCCTGTTCTGCTCCCCACTCTGTCTCTGGTGAATCCTCTCACTGCTTCTCCCCTACCCCCCACCTCTGGCCCACACCCCAGTTCTTGTGTGCATAAATAAATAAATCTTAAAAAAAGCTTTATTGAGATGATTCACCCATGTACAAGGTATACAAGTCAGTTATTTTTAGTATATTCGCAGAGTTACGCGACTATCAGCACAATTTATGAATATTTTTTTCACCCAAAAAAGAAATCCTGTCTCCTCCCACCCCAGACATCACATCTCCCCCTCTCCCCTACCCCCAGGCAACCACTGACCTACTTCCTGAATTTAGTCTTGATGGATTCGCCTACTCTGGATATTTCATATCAGTGAAACCATGTAATAATTGTTTTGTTTAGAGAGCAGTGGTAATCATTAGTACCTCCTTTCTAGAGTCACTGGATACTAAGTCATTTGGTAAAGATGGGAGCTAGGAGGTCTTGCCATTGTAGAGACATTTTCCTCTATGTAATTAGTAAGAATAATTGGGGTGATATTTTCAGCTTGTATGAATATTCTGTTCCCTAGCAACCTGTTATCTAGTGGCTTTAGTGTTCATTGAAAGTCCTTGCTTGACTGCTACCTAACGCTGTGCACGAAAACCAACTCAAAATGGATTAAGGAACTAGACATAAGACCTGAAACCATAAAATACATAGAAGGAAATATAGGCGAAACACTACGTGATATGCACATCAAAGACATCTTTACAGACACATCACCCAAAGCAGTGATAGTGAAGGCAAAGATCAACAGCTGGGACTACATCAAATTAAAGAGCTTCTGCACAGCAAAAGAGACAATAACAAAAACAAAGAGAAACCCCACCAACTGGGAGAACATTTTTGCACACAACACTAATGATAAAAGACTGATCACAAAAATCTACAAAGAGCTGATGAGACTCAACCAAAACAAAGAAAATAATCCAGTCACAAAATGGGCAGAAGAGCTAAAAAGAAACTTCTCTAAAGAGGAAATGCAAATGGCCATCAGGCACATGAAAAAATGTTCAACATCACTTGTCATCAGGGAAATGCAACTCAAAGTACAATGAGATACCATCTTACACCAGTGAGAATGGCACAGATTAAAAAAACTAGCAACAAATGTTGGCTTGATTGTGGAGAAAAAGGAACTCTCCTGCACTGCTGGTGGGAGTGCAAACTGGTCCAACCACTATGGAGAGCTGTGTGGAGATTTCTGGACCTACTAAACATAGAGCTTCCATATGATCCAGCAATTCCACTCCTAGGTATTTACCCAAAGGACACAGAAACATCAATTCCAAAGAACACCTGCACCCCTAGGTTTATAGCAGCACTGTTTACAATAGCTAAGCTTTGGAAACAGCCCAAATGCCCAAAAATAGATGACTGGATCAAGAAGATGTGGTACATATATACCATGGAATATTACTCAGCATTCAAAAAAGATAAACACATGCAATTTGCAGCAACATGGATGGCGCTGGAAGGGATCATGCTCAGCGAAATAAGCCAGAAAGAAAAAGAAAAATACCGGATGGTCTCACTCCTAGCAGGAATCTAGAAAAATAAGGGACCAGGAAAAAGAATAACTATAAGAAAGAAAATATCAAAATCAACAAACAACTATGTACCAGAGACACTCTGGGGGGGAGTGGGGGCCGGGGAAAGGAGGGCTTGGGGTCAAAATAAGGGGGTTGTAATTGTATGGGGAATATAAAAAATGAAATTTAAATAAGAAAATAAAATTAAATAAAAAAAAAATAAAGCCAGCACCCCCTTGGAGTCAGGGAAAAAAAAAAGTCCTTGCTTAAATCAGTGATATTGGGGGTTGCAAAGTAATGATTTTCTATTATTCCATTTTCAAATATCCTAAATTCATAGTATCTCTAATTCAGATGCATTGTTAAAATTTTTCTGTTTGTTTATATTGTGAAAATCTTGGTTCCTAAAAACAAATAAATGCTTTATTTAAAAATGTCCTTTAATATTTAAAATATTTTTGAAAATATTTTATTTTAAATATTTAAATATTATATTTATTTTAAATATAATCCTGGCATCAGTATGTTTACCTTATCCTACAATGCTCAGAAATACTCAGTACATAAAATAATTTCAGAATTACAATACAATGTAGGCTTGCTGGATCATATATAATGCATGTGTGCTTTTGTAAATGGTGCCAGATTCACCTCATTAGTAATGTGCTGCTTTGCATTCTCACCAGCGATGAGAGAGAGTCCCTGTTTTCTTAAAATCTCACCAGTGTAGTATTTTGTCAAACGTTTCAATCTTTGCCAGTCTGATAGGTAGGACAAAGCATTTCTGTGTAGTATGGATTTTGAACTTTTCTGTTAGGAAGAATTGTGAGTATCTACCAAAGTAGGCATTCAACTGCTGTACATGAGGGCTGGAATCAATTTCCAGACTTCTGTTAATGTTATAGTTTGACCTTCCTCCCATGAATCATGAGTTCTCAATGGTGTTAATGAATCATTAAGTGTTCTTAATGGTGAATCTTTTCCACAAGTTTTTCAATTTATTTTGCTTGGATCCATCAGGCGGATCATTATCTATGGCAGCAATAATGTTACAGGGTGTATTTATTAAATAATGAGACATGAAAGTCAAAATTACTCCCTGGGCTGCGGAATGGATACTATATTAGGAGGCATGAAGACAGCTTTTATCTCCTTGTACATCTCCATCAGAGCTCCTGGGTGACCAAGTACACTGTCTGCAACTTAAATCCACCCACTGTCTCAGCACCTGACACTAGAGTCAGCCTGTCCTTAACAGCTTTTGAAGCCAGACATTGACTTTTCCTTTCTAGCTATGGGAGTCCTAGTAGGCGTCTTTTAATATCAGGCTGATTTGTCTGCATTGGAAATCTGTTTTTTAGTGTCACTGCCTTCATTAATTGACATCAGCACTTGCTGTTTCATTTTGTACTTTTTATGTTATGGAGATGACTTCCTTCCTTTAACCTCATGAACTGCTCTTTTAGTTTCTCACTTTTCATCTGAAGCTTCTCTCAGCCTTCATAGAATTGAAAAGTTAAGACCTTGTTACGGATTTGGTTTTGACTTAAGGGAATGTGGTGGTTGGTTTGATCTTCTATCCAGACCACTAAAACTTTATCCATATCGGCAGTAAGACTTTCACATTCTTATCAACCATGTATTCACTGACATACCATTTTATTTTTTAATTTTATTTAATTATTTTTTTAAAGATTTTTTTGTTATTTATGCAAGAGCTGGAGTACAGTTCAGAGACGGAGGAGGGTGAGAGGATCCACCAGAGACAGAGCGGGGAGCAGAAAAGGCAGAAGGACTGAAAGCACTGCTGAGGGGAGCAGCGGGCGAGACAGGAGAGGTCTGCCACGCCATGTGGGAATCTCCCTGACTGCTGGGAATTGAACCTGTACTGCAGAGGCTGCGGACTGCTTGACAGTGCTGTGCTCAACCCGCTGCGCCACTGGGGAGGCCCTGACATACAATTTTAAATTTCCTTTGCATTTACAACTTGGCTAACTGCTGTAAGAGACCTGGCTTTCAGCTTATCTTGGTTTTCGTGCCTTCCTCACCAAGCTTATTCATTTCTAGCTTTTGATTCAAAGTGAGAGATGTGACTCCTTTCACTTGAAAACTTTGAGGTCATTGTGGGCTTATTAATTGGCCTAATTTTAATATTGTGGGATCTCAGGGACTAGGGAGGACCAAGGAGAGGGAGGGAGGGAGGTGAGAGGAAGGCCCATCAGGAGAGCAGACAGAACAGATAACAACTATTGTCTGTTACGTTTGTTGTCTTTATGGTTTGTGGTGCCTCCCAGGCAGTTTCAGAAGTCGCAATAGAGATCATTGATCACAGACTGCCATGCAGAGATAATTTGGAAAAAATTGAAATATTGCAAGAATTACCAAAATGTGACACAGAGACACAAGAAAGCAGCTGCTATTGGAGAGTGGCATGCGTAGATTTGCTTGACACAGGTTTGCCACAAACTTTCCATTTGTTTAAAAAAAAAAAAAAGGCAAGAACTGCACAATGCAGTGAAGCGAGGTGTGCAGCTATAGACAG